GCTACTCCTGGGTTTCCTCATTTGAGACCGTTTTTCAGCCTCAGGAGCAGCGAGCATGTGGGGCCAAAACGAGGCGCAGCTCGGTGAGGAGGGGGGGGAAGTGCCCTTGGCTTGGCGAAAATGAGAAATACTGATCAAAGAGGACAAAGCACCAGGGGATTGAAGACATGAGGTCTTTGGTTCCAATTTAACTCCTCATAGTTTTTACAGCACTACGTCACTACGTGCTGCAGAACAAATCTTTCTAGCTTATCGATGGTTCGCGATGTTGTACATGTCCTTTGCATGTGTTGAGAGGATGGCAACATGTTACATGTCACATAAAGAAGGTCTTCAAGCGATGATTTCCTGATCAGGTGAGTAAGTTCGCTGAGAAGCACAACCTGAATGAGACACTTGGGCAGACTTAGAGATGATGTCAACTTCTTCTATCCATGCTTACTTCCTCACAAGTTTGGCTGGCTTAGCACACATATATGGGGCACTACCAAAACACACAGAGATATAATATAAATTACCATACGTATGTATTACTAAGTGACATACGGGTCCGCGGCGGGTCACACCTCAACCAGTTCGGGTTCGGCCCGGGTCGGCCGGTCGAACAGAGGGGCGCCAAGTCGGACTTGAAGAAGATCTTCGACAGCTACGTCACCAAAAGCCGAAGGTCGGAGAGCTCCATGAGAGAGGGTCGGGTGGGAAGGAGCTGGAGGGTTCGGGGGTTCGGGAGCACTCCAGGTGCTGAGGGAGCCGTTCGACCTCGGGTGGTGAGGAGGTGTCCCAGTGGGGTGCTGTAAGTGGGGCGTCCTTGCGCCGCTTGCGCCCCGGTGTTGTCATCTGGTGCGGGCGTGGAATGTTTCGATGTCTTTCAGGTGTGTTTCTACGCATGTGGCGGCGATTTTCCAGGGGGCGAAGGTCAACCAAGCAGCCAAGCACCATTCAATACACCAAGGAACCTCCTCCCCTTGGTAGAAAGCATGACATGGACCAGATGGTCATCCCGTGACATGGTCCCCTTGGGTGGTCTTCTCCTTCTCCCGATTCAGGCGGGTCACGGTGCGTGTGCCAGCGACTACGGCCAACATGGGCCCTGGCTTTGATTGTGCTGGGATGGTGGGGGCTCTGAGTGGGGCTCAGAAGATGTTTGTTGTCAATGTTTTGTTTATCCTTTGAAGAAAGATTCAGAATTCAGAATGATTGTTGAGACAATGTCGTGTTTTTTGTCATATTTTTCAGGATAGAGAGCTGTTCCAGTTTTGGGGACCTTTTGGTTGGAACTGCTCTCGTGGTGAAGGGGCCCCAGTGAACTCGCTCGGGTGATGCGACCGTCGCTCGGGTGCGTCGCGCAAGGCCTTGGACGTATGGAACGAGGTGAGGTGAGACGGGGCCTGCTTGGTGCTTGGTGCTTCCCTTCGCCTTTGGTTGGAAGGCATGATTTGAAATTGATATGCAAAAATAGGCACGGCAAACCTGCTGGGAAAGGAGAATGGTCTAAAACCTGCAGGTCGCATTCATTTGCGTCAATGCCTCTGTCTCTTCATCATTTGGGCCATCCCTTGTTCGGGTGAATGCTTCACCCAATGGCTGGGTGTGGATCGGAACCCCCTCTTCATTCGGTTTTCACACGGATGGCTGACGGAGAAGCAACGTGAACCCAAACTGAATACAGAGCCCATGCGCTTGCAACGCCAGCTGACTGTGGAGAGAGCCTCCTCCTTCTCCATCGAGCATCTTGTCAGAAGAAGTGCCATGTATCAGTGTTGCAGTAGCTTGTGAATGCCCCATGTGTTGACCTGTCCTCTTGCCAGGCAGCAGCAGAAAGCTACAGATAGCTTGTTTGACAGATGTGTTGGTATCGACGGTGTTTGTGCATCTAGGAGAAATCTGTTGCCACTCGTTCGACTTGCGATCCTGTCTCCCAGCTTACATGCTGGGACATTACAGTCCTCGCGAATGGTCGCATTTTACAAACAGCACGAACCATTTGAACCAAAGCACTTGTTGTGGCCCCTCTCACCGCAGTCTTTCTCAGGATTGAGGGAGAAGGTCAGAATCTCAGCTCATGAGGGGAAAAGGGCATCGAGTTCGGGAGGAATGAGGACCCACATGTCTCCGATTGGCCGAGAATTGAAGTTTTTCCACCCTCCTTGGATGCCATCTACGTGTGGCAGCGGAAAAGTCTCCCCAGCTGAAATCACACATCACACACACACACACACACACATTCGACTAGGAAGGATCGCAGGGAATTCGAGGCTGAAGGGTGCAACACGGGAGATCCTCACAGCACATGCTCAGCACCTGAACCATGCCCTTCGCATCCCTTGGCAGGTGCACGGATGCTACCTCGAGACAGGTCGAATCTCGTCCTAGACCTCAGAGTTGCGGTAGGATTTTCGCATTGAAGAGGCATTTGGAGTGTGTCGAGTGGGCCCTACAGTTTGTGGAGGATGATTGAAGATGTTTTAAGCTCAAAAAAGAAATATATATATATATATCCTTCAAACAGTTGCTTCACATCTCTCAGCACTCCTAACTTTAACCAAGTGAGATTCCAAGGGGGCCAATTCAGGAGGCATTGCAAATCTTTTCCGAAGGCCTGAGCTGAGCTCAGGCTGAGCTCAGACTACCTGCATCTACCTGCCACTTCCATCCACTTACAATCATTTTCCAATAGATCCTTCCATGATCATATTCACACACCTTTGACAGGTGGGAGATCTTTCTTACAATCTATGCTCCAAGTTCAAGAAAAGCCTAACCTTCAATGTGACACCAGGGACGTGTCCTATAAATATATATATTGACACACACATATAAATATGTATATATATAGATATATGTGTTTACACACGTATGTATATATATATGTACAAACACATGTGCGTGTGTGTTTGTGCGTCATATACTTGTGAGGTCCTTCCACCCCATGTCGCCGCCAAAATATTCACCCAAGTTACATGTTCCGCCAAACGCAGAACATGTTTCACAGGTCACGAGAAATTCCAGAAGTGTTGCGACCTTTCCCGAGACCTTGTTAAAGGGCCGAATGGGCAACAGGGTTTGTGGATCGGAACCTTTGCATTCTGCCGCACTAGATTCACAAGATCATACAAGATCCCATTCTCTTCGGCATCCGCGCCATTGCACCATGGAGAATAAGCCCAAGCGAGTTTGATGTTCCAGTGTGGGCAGTGCCAGGGCACTGTTAACAAGTCGGGTGTTGTGGTGTGTATGAAACACTCCAGCATCAGGTGGTCAAAGGAGTGGAGGCTGCTTACAAGTACATTGAGCAAGAGGTGGGCTACGCATGGCTACGCATCGCTACGCCGGGTGTGTGGGCATCGAACGTCGTCGCCCTTGGCGAAACCCGATGCGGTGCCCGGCCCCTTCGGGCTCGGCCGGCGAAACCCGCACGACACGGTGACGACACGACACCTGGGGGCAACGGCTCCAAAAGGGCTGGAACACGGAAGGTCGTCTCAAGTGGTGACCGCACTGCAAAACCATTTGCCGGACACAAGTACGGCTAAGTACATGGACAAGTACATGGACAAGTACAGCCCCGGAGCAATAGAACATAATAGCTGACACCCCCAGATGTCAAAGTTTCATGAGGTTTCGTCTTGAAACGCCACCTCACATGTTTGTTACTTGATTAGTTACGTCCAGTCAACATAACCTTGGGACATGCTCCCTAACATTGACACTGGTGCGGGAGGGCGATGAAAGAAGGAACAATTCATTTACGGAAATGGCACGGTGATGTGAAACAGATGGGCTGAAGACCTCAAGAGATATCAAGTGCCACGCTTGTAGTAACAGGTGCCTTACTAGTAGTAACAAGAAGCTAGTAGAAACAAGTGCCACGCTAGTAGTAACAGGTGCCAAAATGACTCATGACCATGTTCTTCAAGCTTTGTCCTAGCACTGCCTCCCAAGCGTTGTGCCAGAAACTGGCGGAGTGTTCCCAAGCAAGAAAGTCTCACCGAAGGGCTTTTCGGTGTCATCCTCCTTGACCCCCGCTTGACCCCAAAAAAACCTGCGGAGGTGCCCATCCTCAGGTATTGGACCTTGCCGGGAGCCTCAGTTTTCGAACCACCCGTGCACCGTGCACCCGCCCTGAGGATGGGGGGGGCAATTTGAGGGTGCCCAATTCGGGGAGCGCCTTGGAGGCCACAGGGTTTGGACACGCCCGGGCCACTTGGAAGGCGCCCGTGCACGACTTGAAGTGAAGCAACTAACGAGCAAACTCGGCTCGTAGACGTGTCCTTGGAAAATGCGTGCGCTCTACAAAGGACCTCACACAAATTCAAAAAAATAGAAGAGCCAAACTCAGAGACTGCTCGATGTTACGTGCCGCGGCTGGCACATCTGTGGCACAACCCCTCCATTGCTTGGGCCTGGTACCTGTGCAGAAAATGTGCAGACTGAGTCGCTTGAGGTTCAGCCTGCCACTGGCAATTCCATCAAAGTCACGCACCCAATCCCCTTCGCACCATGGCGAGACCGAGGAACCGAATCCCTTTCGCCAAGGGTATGGGCTCTTCGTCAGCAGCGTGGACGCTTAGAAGGCCCAGAAAGGAGTATGTCACAAATAGCGTCACATATTTGTCCTGGTATTTGTCCTTTTTTTCTGTCCTATCGCACAACTCACATGACACGGCTTTTCGTGTGATTTGCTCACGGCCTTTCAATGGCGTGCAGCATCTTTAACGTGTTCTGTGTGTTATTTTCCTTCGGTCCCTCGTTTTCAAAGACCGAATCATCCTCAGCTCTTTGTGGAACCCCACCTCACTAGCACTATTTGTAGAGGTACATGAAAGCTTAGTGTTCGGGGTGCTGCTTCGACAGTCAGCGATGTCATCACATTGGCCGCTTTTGGATTGTAGCGTTCTTCTGAGTTTGCAATTCCAAGATCGCGGGTTTGCCATCAGTTCCTCGCAATTGAGCAAAACAAAAATTTCAATAGTGCTTAGAACTTCACTGGAATCTGCTGCATGTTGCTTTTTGCATCAGAGCAGGGAACACTACAGTATCCAGCCTTTTCGACCACTGTGATGTCGCGCTTGTGGCGGGGCAAGTTGCCCAGCAAGGAGCAGCGGGGGCAAGTTGCCCAGGAGAAAGACCATTAAACATCTGAGATGACTCCAATGGCCGTAAGGGCCGTGAGGGGTTTGGGCAAAGGGCAAGAAGATTCTGGGTTGCACTTCCCAATGCTACACATGGAAGAACTTGATCAGTGATGTTGAGCTCCTTTCTGATACAGATACCGTCGAGTCCGTTTTGCCCTCATGTTGGTTTCTCTTCACTTCCTTCAGGTCTGCATTCTTGGGCAAGAAAATGCTCAAAAATGATCAGGTGCTAGCAATTGTTGAGATTGATTGGACAACATGATTGAACCGACTTTGTTTCGGATATTGTTCAGACTATTTCGGACCAAACCCCAAACCTCCATCTAGCCAGTTGGAAGAGACTGCGAGGCCCTCAGGTCAGGTTGTGGACCATATTCCCCGTCGCCATCCGCTGTTTCTCCTGGAAGAGCTATCGCACTAGTCCCGTATCCTTTAGCTAATCGTTCAGAAGAAGAGCAAGATGATCAATCATGTGAAGCGTTTGGCTTGTAAATTTGCAGATTGGGGCCTTCTCAGAGAAATTGGGCCGGGAGGCATTCTTACCGCTTGCCTTCATGGGCGTTCTTCGGGGCCCAAACAGAAGTGGGGAAAAGATTTTACATAAAGGATCTTTAAGAAATGAAGCCTGGCCTGCTGTTTGCAAAGGATACGTTTGGTTCTTCATCAGGCCACCATAGGATTGGCCAGATGAATGAACTGAGCGGGGATGCATGAATCGAATTTTCAGCCGGAGGGCAAAAACGCAGAATCTAATTCTGGCTCTGTCGGGCACCCTTTTTTACTGTATGACATTGTAGAACCAAGCCAACAAATAGCTCGAACTTTCTTCGCCACAGCCACCGATGAGGAGCTGATTCACTGCTCTGAGCGGAAGGCCAGTTTGCTTGGAGAGCTCCGGGCGGAGGTCACGATGCTCGGCAGAAGTGGCGAGGGGGAGCTGGATGGACCAGAAGAAGAGGTAAAGTGTTGAGTACTACAAGGAGCAGCCGTATTTCAGCATGAGGGGGGAAGTGCTCGAAGTGTTGGGCCATAGTGCAACTCAAGGCGAATAGTAAGAGGGTTTTGGGGGCTTCATGGCATCCCCCACTTGGCTCCTCAAGCAAGGTACCAAGAGTCTTCACAGATCCTCCTTCTGGGTGAGGGCAACTTCAGCTTTTGCGCAGCAGCGGCATGGCTGCAATGGGCAATAAGGGCAACGAAGGGGCCACAGTAAATGCGGATCGCGTTTGATCACCACGACATACCTACTTTCTGCGTATTTTTTGGTGTTTTTGCTGCAACTCAACTTTTGAGATGTTGACCTGATGCTGGCCCTCAACAACCTTACTTCCAGTAATCATTCCGAAAGACGGAGGGAAAAACGGGGGGTCACAGGCATTGACAGACTCTCCTGACAAACGCTGCCTGGCACGTGCACAATCTTCTTACATTTGTGCAATGGCATGTGTTTTGAGATCCTTTCTGGCATGTGTCCCGAGATTTGTCCTGCCGCGGTCAAGTCTTGGAATTTGTTCTGATTTGTAGTTAGGCATGTGTTCATGTCTTGGGGCATATTGTTTGACCATGTGTTCTGTCATGTGTTCGAACACTTATTCTGCAATCAAATCTTCCATGTGTGCGACAAATGTCCTGACATGTGTTCTGACATTTGTTCTGGCACGTGTTCCGTTTTGATTGAAGCTTGCACTTGATCGCTTGGCTTTGCTGAGCCAGCATGGCCAGTTTCACTCTTAGACGACACGAGTAGAATCAAGTGTGTTTTTTGCTAATGATGCTAATGCGACGCGTGCGCCAAGCTGTTTGCAGGCCAAAGCCTGCACAGATCGAGCAAGTGAGGGACAGGGTCAAGCATTGTCCACTTGTTTTTTTTGCGGTACATGTTGGTTGTTGCTTGTGGTCCTCGGGCCGGCGCCAGTTTGATGTCAATGCTATAAGGTGCAGAGATGCTTCAAGGATGCTGGCGGCTTGACGGCCACTTCCTATGAGTCCAGAGAGGACATCGTAAAGAGGTGCGGGAAGGTTGGGTCTGTTGGGGCGCGCGGGGCTGGGAGCACGCCGCGCGTGGCAGTAGCCTGCAAAGAGCGCGTCCCAAGCTTGGACGCTCGTTGGTGCCAGTCGTGGCTTTAAACCTGCTCTGGAGTCTGCTCTGAAACCTAGAGAAGGCTTTTTTTTTTCTGGCGTCGTTGCGCACTGCCGGCTTAGCTTCCTTTTCCTTCCGTTTCCCTGCGCTTCCAACCCATAGACACTGCCGAGCCTGAATCGCACGCTTCCATTTGATGTGCCGAGGCCTCTCACCCCAGTACTCCTCAATGCGCGCGGAGCCCAACGAACTCTTTGGTCCGGAGTATGGATCTCTCCATCTTGACCCGCTGGCGAGCGAGGAGGAGCTTTCATCAGGATCGTCATCATCTGGTGGCTCTGGGATTGAAGCTGGCTTGGACCTGCGATGTGTGGCTTGAAATTCTGCAAATGTGCTGTCGCGAGGCGCATGGTTTGGTGCTGCGCTTGCAGTTATGGTGGCTCTGGTAGGTTGGTGACAGTGGTCATCGTAGTGTCAGTGGCAATGAGGGTTTTTGTGGTGGTTGCAGTGGCAACGACTGGCTGATGACGCAAGTGGCATCGATGATGTGAGGTTTGTGGCCTGCACTACCAACCGGCAAGAAAATGCAAGATCAATTTGGAGTGTTGGCAATCTGACTATGATGAAGGGGTCTAATGACATGGTGCACAAGGATGAAAAGGAAGCAAGAGCTGGGGGCGCCTGGCCTTAATACTGGGAGCAAGAGCTTGGTAAGGAGGGGGCTTGAAGAAAGCCACATTTTTGAGCAGTGCTGGGGATGAGTTGTGTCTTTTTTGAGGAGCGTTTCTGCAGTTGGCCACGATGTGTGCATCATGGCCAGCCGTGGAGCCAATGCATCGTAGCTCGTGTGGCCTAATGGATAAGGCACCTCCCTACTAAGGAGGAGATTGTGGGCTCGAGGCCCACCTCGAGTGTTTTTTCATCCATGTTGGCGTGGAGCAGATGGAGCGGAGGTGGCGACCCTTTGTCGGCAACTGAGGTGGACTCAATTGTGGCTCTGGGGCGTTGAGGAGCGGAGGCTGTGGAGGTGTGCATGGAGGCGGCTTCAGCTGCGGCTCGCTGGCGCTCGCCTGATCTCTGGCAGGGGCGGGGGGATAGTGTTGCGTGTCAGGGGCAGAGTCTGCCCTTGACAGGTAGTTGATCAGAAAGGGCTGTTGGCCTAATGGACAAGGCGCCCGGAGCGGAGATGGGCAGCTCACTGTTTGTGGCTCGCTGTGGCTTGAGAAATTCTGCAAGTGTGCTGTCGCGAGGCGCGTGGTTGGGTGCTGCGCCTGCAGTTATGGTGGCTCTCGTAAATGGTTGGTGACAGTGGTCATCGTAGTGTCAGTGGAAATGAGGGTTTTTGTGGTGGTAGTTGCAGTGGCAACGAATGGCTGATGACGCAAGAGCCGTCTACGGAGAGGTCAGTCGTTACTGTTACCTCTCCTGCTGGCGAAGAGGAAGCACCCATGCAAGAAGCTAGTCGCCCTGGCCCGCAGAACCAAGAAGCTGGTCATGCGGAAGGCAAGGAAGAGGAAGCCGACTGATGATCCGGAGGTAGCCGGGGAGGACGAACACAGTGAAATTGTCGTCAGCGATGAGGACGAAGTACCTTCCCTGTCTCCATCTGCGCACCAAGATGCTAAAAGATGTGCCATCTCCCCTACTATCAGGTCTACCAAGCCTGGGGCCGGCAGTCACGTCCAAGTCAATGAGACACAAGAGACACTTCCCATCGCAGAGAAAACGCAATCAAGTGAGCTGTTCTGGCAGCAAGACAGGTCATCGGAGGAAGTTATGAATATGGAAGGCGCCTGCCCATGCAGCTGTCCTTCGAAAGAGCTTGCGGAGCCCACCGTACCCGCATCTCCTGTCCCGAAGGGTATCAGGCGACGGTGGAAGCAAGAGCCGCTCGAATGCACCTCGACCCCCCCAACGAGCACTCAACGCACAAGCGGCAGCAGGAACCGGAGCAACAAACAGCCCCAGGGGCATGGCGAGGAACCAGGAGGGCTGCTACCAAACCCAGTGCAGTAAAATCCAAAGTAACCAAGCCACTCGCTGTGCTCTATAGCATTGCGGAGAGCCTTACAAGCACGCCGGAAACGACTATCCTGTCAACACACTGGCCTTGCCAATCTAGCCGAGACCCCTGCACCCACCTTGATCAAGGCAGATCCGCATCTGCCTGATGATTGTGCCCGCGGGGGATCCGCAGGGAAGCAAGCAAGTCCCGCACAGGTTACCCTCGGAGATGATACAGACCAAGCTGGCTTTGCCGAGGCTGACCTCAAAGCACAGTCCGAACAAAGGGCTACGCAAGAACTTTATGGATTCCAGAAGCTCTCCATGCAACTTTTCCGGCCCTGCTGTCACAGTGGAATTGTTGCATCTGAGTTTTTGGTGTGGAAGTGTAAAATTAGATAGTTCTATGGTGGTAGAGAGAATGGCTTGACTCTATGGCTCCAGAGCATGGCATCCATGGGTCTAGATAGAGAGTAGCTTGAAAGTGAACAGCTTCCAGCACCATATTTCGGGCGGTACCCTCCTTTTTTCTTTCTTTGCTTGTTCTGAAGTTCGGTTGACCTCCGGCTTCTGTTGTTTTGGCTGCGCAAATCTCAGCACAGAATGACAACAGGCCATAGAGCCAATAGGATGGGTCCGCATAGAGGGCCAAATCTTCGCCTGCCATGTCGGGCTGTTCCACCGGACATGACTTGCGTTGAGATGGAGAGGCAAGTGGAGGTGGCCATCCCTTGTCGGCAGCATGAAAGGCTTCAATTGTGGCTCTGGCATCTGCTCTTGAGGAGCAGCCAGGGGCACGGAAGCTGTGGAGGTGGAGATGTTGTGGGTTGAGATAGAGATTGGAGGTGGCCCTGAGCGTTTCTGCAGTTTGCCACCTGGTCTGCATCATGGCCAGCCATAGAGCCAATACATCGTAGCTCGTGTGGCCTAATGGATAAGGCGCTTCCCTCCTAAGGACGAGAGAGATTGTGGGGACTCGAACCACCTTGAGTATTTTCATCCATGTATCATCGATGCCACTTGTGTTAACGTGCTGTCAGCCATTCGGTGCCACTGCAACCACCACAAAAACCCTCATTGCCACTGACACTACGATGACCACTGTCACCAACCTACCAGAGCCACCATAACTGCAAGCGCAGCACCAAACCACGCGCCTCGCAACAGCACACTTGCAGAATTTACAGCGAGCCGGAGTTACCACTGGCGCATTCTGAAGGGATAACACTGAGCTGCCCAGGACTTGAACCTGGAATCTCCGGCTCCGGAGGCTGACGCCTTATCCATTAGGCCAACAGCCCTTCCTGATCAACTACCTGTCAAGGAGACTCTGCCCCTGACACCCAAGCACTATCCAGTCGAGCCCACAATCTCCTCCTTAGGAGGGAGGCGCCTTATCACAAGCTGCGATGCATTGGCTCTACGGCTGGCCATGATGCACACCACGTGGCCAACTGCAGGACACGCTCCTCAAAAAGGACACAACTCATCCCCAGCACTCAAGTGAGTTGCAAGTATCTAGCCTGGATGTGGCCTTGTCTCATATCCGTCTTCAAGCCCCTCGTTACCAAGCTCTTGCTCCCAGTGTTAAGGCCAGGCGCCCCCAGCTCTTCCTTCTTTTTCACCCTTAAGCACGTGGCCTGCACTACCAACCGGCAAGAAAATGCAAGATCAAGAGTGTTGGTGGGAAGAAAGCAATCTGACTATGATGCAGGGGTCTAATGACATGGTGCACAGACATGCAAACCTCACATCATCGATGCCACTTGTGTCAACGTGCTGTCAGCCACTCACTGACACTGCGATGACCACTGTCACCAACCACTTACCACTCATATCCAGTCTTCAAGCCCCCTCCTTACCAAGCTCTTGCTCCCAACAATATAGAGCAGGATGAAGAATTTTAAAGTCGACAACCCGGGTCGCTCGGGTGAGAGCCGAGTGACAACAGGGCACAAGAGCCAGCCACCCGACCGCAGGATGCGTGTGTATTGGGCCAGCGGCTGTGGTCTTCAAGCACTCGCCTTTTTGGCTCATCAGTGGCAGGGCACGCACGGGCAGGCAACGACCTGAGCCAAAGATGGAAGACTCTTTGCGCTGCATGGCACCGAATTTCTTCCCTCTGTCCACACACGTCAAGCGTTCGTGCCTGCCCCCTGCTGGCTCAATACACACGCATCCTGCGGTTC